CCAAAGATAGAGTCAGAGTCTCTCCTCTCCTAAACCTTTGAATCCCGGAGTAGCGTATACCAAAATCTCATACCCGGAGTAGAGTAGACCTAAATCCCATACTCAGAGTAGAGTAGACTTAAATCTCATACTTGGAGTAGAGTAGACCTAAATCTTATACCCAGCGTACAGTAGACCTAAATCTCGTACCCTATACCTATGTAGTAAACGCCCTACTCCATTTGAGTCTCTCAGACCTGTATCAATCCAGGTACAACTCTTCACTATCAATGCCAAACACTGGGCACAATCTCATAAGCTATCAATATCAAACACAGACACGATCTCGTAAACTATCTCCCATACGTTTCCCACTGTACTCGGCACATGTGGTCCCATCATAGGTTTGATGCTTCTTTCTTTGGTAAGACAGATATCACAACGTTCTACCAGCCTTCTGATCTTGTCCCAAGTGCATAAAACAAAGAAAGTTTTCTGGAATTTGTCTAATGTATCGTTTACTCCTCTATGTCCGGACATTATTCCCTCTTGACAGATCTGTAAATTGTCCAAACTGGCAAAAAAAGGTTTTACTCTCACAGGTAGAAAAACTCGGGTTTGGAAATTAATTTCGATATATTTCATATCCTCATCAGTCCTACAGAAAATAACCAAAATTATTACAAATTAAAAATAAAGATAATGTAACAAATTTAATTTTTTTTAAAAAATATTGCAATTAGCATATAAGAAAAACAACTATAGAACAACAACAAAGACTAACTTAGTTAAACAGAAAACAACCACACTAAAGCCACAACAGAAAGTTGTATCATCTTTTTTTGTTTAGTCCTTTTGCTGTTGTGTTAAACTGTTGTGTTAAATATGATTCTCTGATCTTCCGATATGTTGGATTGTTTTCTTTACATTTTTCAAGAACTGTAACTTTCATATTTGATAGTGTATGTCCTGGAAGGTTGAAATGATTTCCAGTGGGTTGTGTTAAATTAGCACTTTTTACATAACCTATATGTTCTCTAAACCTATCAGCTAATAACCTTCCTGTTTCTCCAATATATTGTATATTGTGGCAACTAGGTTTGTTGCAAGATATACAGTAAACCACATTGTAACTTTCACAAGACTCAAGAGTTCTTATTTTTACAGCAAAGTTTGATCTTGAACTTTTTACCTTCTCTGTGGTGTGTAGGAAAGGGCAAGTGTTACACTCATATCTGTTACATTTTTTCATTCCTACTAGGGTTCTCCTGGACCTTGTTTCCTTTGGGAGTTTTGTTTTTACAAGGAGGCTCTGCAATGATGAGTTTCTGAGTTGCCTGTAGGCAACCATAGGAGGGTTTTTGAATACATCCTTTAGATATGGATCTTTAACCATTACTTTCCAGGCCCTGTTCAAAATTTTACTGTAGGAAGGTAGTGCAGGATGGTAGGTGGTGACATAAACAACTCTATTTGAAGGTTTTCTGACAACTTTTTTCAGACACTCTGTTCTGGACAATTGGAGAGAACGTTTAATTGCATTTGTTATTACAGTTTTATCATAGTTTCTAGATAAAAGCAATTTAGATAATTCCTCAAGACTGGAAAGGCAGATCTGGAACGCTTCTTTCGTTGACAGATCTGGAACGCTTCTTTCAACCTTGCTTCCGGTATGCAGATACGCAAAGCATTATATGGTTTTGCTGTATCTATGTGTTTAGCGTAGCATACCATGATTACCTGGGAATGATTCTCCGATAATATCCTGTAAATCGAGGAATGAGGACATCTCCTTACATCTAGTTGGTGTGGCCAGTTCTGCGCATTCTTGATATAATCCTCCATCTTGACTCACTTTATGTCCTAAGTACTCTACTTCCGACTGAAAAATCTTGGTCTTCTCTGGGTTTATCTTGATCCCTGCTTTAGTATGAGCTTGTACTATCTTCCTCAGATGTTCCAAGAGTCCCCAAGGTGTCCGATTGATTTTTTAAAAAAAATTGTAAAAGAATTGAGTCTTTGGAACAAAATTAAGTATTTAAACCTCAATATCTTTAGAACCCGATGTTGTAAACCTTTGATATTTCAAACTCAGATTATTTGATCTAACATAATTCATAGTTTGAAATATCTAAGGTCTGCAACATTTGTTTCCAATGATATAGTGATTAGAAAATCAGAGTTTGTGGCAAAGACTCAATTCCTTTTTTATGGAATTTAAAATTTTGTATATATATAAGATATTAAGAGAGATTTTGCTCAGTTTTTTTGCACTGGCATTTTCAACGCTTTAGCAGCGAAAATATTAAGACTAAGGAGTATTAATTAATCTAATAATATTCACAGTATTACATTTTAGATACTGTGTTTAATTATGTTAATGCAAACATTTTATCGAGTATCATCGTATTCTTCAGGACATAAATATTACAAAGTGGTTTTTCTTCTTTTTACAGTTAAACCCTAGATAAGCCATGCATCGAAAGAATTCATCAAATGTCGTATTCTTCACTTTTTGATATTGGAATGTTGCAGAAATTTAGTTTTTTAATTAAATGATTATATGGAACTCTTTAAAACTGTTCCCGCATATTCATGGCTATAGTTTATTTATTTTCGCAAATACTGAGATTTATGTAAAATAGTATAAAACCCATTGAATAATTGTCAAGACGACATTTGATAAAAAACTTTCCAGGTATGACTCATTTAGGGTTCAACTGTAGAAGTTTAAGTTTAGAAAGATAAAGCTTTGTCCCTTTGCATATACATACAGATCAATAGGTGATCTGGTTTTAATGCGGGATATACAGCGTTACAATTGAACAAAATAACGTTCCATCTGAACGAAATTAGGTTCCAATTAAACAAAACGTTCCAATTGAACAAAATAACGTTCCAATTGAACAAAATAACGCTCCAATTGAACAAAATAACGTTCCAATTGAACAATATACGAATACGTAGTTTAACTTTTACAGAAGTTTCAAGATGAGAAAGAGTTTGATAAACTAATAGTAATGCAAGGACAGAAATAGTTTAGAACTTTACGCTTAAACTTTTAATAACATTCAATGCATAAAATGTTTTTTACATTTTTTGGGTACACAAAGATAGGTATCTTAAAATCCGGTGATGGCGATGGACCAAACCTCTGTAGAGTAAAAAAGTAGATGTTAGTTTCGGTCTGGGTTGACCCTCGTCAGTTCTAACGATATAAAAACCATCAAAATCGATAAACAAAAATATAAAAAAAATGTTTGTTAAGAATCACAGGAAAATGAACAAACAAAAAAGATTATTCAAAATAAAAATTTGAGCTGTCAAATGGACATAAGATAGGTATCTTAAATAATATACTTTGTTTATATTATTATTGAAACAAAAATCACAAAATATCCCACTCCTGGCATGTTGTGTTCCTTTATAATTCTATATATATTAATTCCCGAAGGTATAAAGAATTTCGTTCAGATTTCAATTAACTAAATAAAACCAGAATTTTTTAAGTCCAAACGAAATTTTTCTAATCTCATGAAATTTTAAAGCACCTAGGTGATTATTGTTACAAAAATCATCCTAGTCAAACTAGGGGACGACTGAATGCTGCAAACTATTTCAAAGATCAAAGACGATCTACAGATAATCTCTCAACTGTCATGTTATATGGAACACCATTAACAATATCTTTAAATTTGAAAACTTTGATAAAACAAGACGCCATAAGAAAGTTGTATTTATTTGATTTAAGAAAACGCTAAGGTACGTCTTTATAATAAATGAAGTTATCCTACAGTCTTCGTCGCATATATCAATACAATACAGACGACTTTGTATTTGTTAGGTATGAATGCATCAAAAAGTCGTTAAGATTGTATTGATATTATCGCTAACTAGACATAAAAAACCTTTTGATTTTGCATGTTTATTTTTTAATTTCATTTCTAAGTTTGAACTTCTGTATTGTAGTTCATACAAACTTATTATCGTTCTGTGTCGTAAACTTACTTTTTAATATTCATGGTATTCTTAAAAACATATATAAGAATTAATTGAAACTACATACAGTGGGCGTACAAGGGGGGGAGCACCCGCACCCCAGTCTGATGAGTCCACTTAAGAAAATTACATAAATAATTTATTAACACTTGTAATATGAAAGTGTGTATATGGTCGAATAGTTTACATAGTTAAAAAACGTATTAATATTTTTTTCAAAAGAGGTGTTTAAAAGGGGGGCACATAATTTTTGTTTGCGCGCTGACGCGCAACGTGTACCCAAAAATACTCTCGTTCGCCCCTGACTACATAGTAGTACATACACGAAAATAAGAAATAATTGAAAATATATGGTAGTACATACAGTAATATAAGAATTAATTGAAAATATATGGTAGTACATACAGTAATATAAGAAATAATTGAAAATATAAAGTAGTACATACAGTAATATAAGAAATAATTGAAAATATATAGTAGTACATACACGAATATAAGAATTAATTGAAAATATATGGTAGTACATACAGTAATAAAAGAATACATTTGAAAATATATGGTAGTATATACACGAATATAAGAATTAATTGAAAATATATAGTAGTACATACACGAATATAAGAATTAAATGAAAATATATATCAGTACATACACGACACATTTGATGGTGGTTAACTCATAAACTAGACATCAGAATTTATTTCACCATAAAGACGATATTCTTATATTTATAATGCCCCCTGATTCCTGCTTCATAATTAGCTGGTTCATATAGAAAATAATATTTGTATTAAATACCTGTATAAGAAACGGGAAATGGAAAACAATTGAACTCAAAGATTACCTGGATTTGGATCCGGATCCGTATCTTAAACTAATCTAAACTGAACGGACATTGTTTCTATATCTAGCTGATGGTCAATATATTTGAAGTTCTCCCCACGCTAAACTTTTAAAATAAGTAAACAAAACAAAGTAAATAGATAAAAGTTTGTTTTCCATTTAAAAATATATTATTCTAGTTGTGCTGTGCCCGGTTCTAACCCCACCAGAGAACGGAAACCTATCCATCTCCCTTGATCAGGACGGACGTGAAGTATCCGCAGAGTTTTCATGTTCCCGTGGATACGTTCTATCCGGGGTATCCGGTATGGAGTGTGTGAATGGATCATGGAGTGGGAGAGAGCCGAAGTGTTTGATTCCGAACTGTGGAGTTCCTCCTAGAGTTCAGCAGGCAACTGCTCTACTAGTCAACGGAACTACGTCCTTGGGAGATATAACCTTCTTTTCCTGCAATCCTGGATATATCATGGTTGTAAATGCAACCTCAGGTTAGAGTTAATTCAGAATTAATATGAGGTTTCAATAATTAAACCTTTTTTCACATATTTTTTCTAGAACCAATTGCTCAGGAGAGAACTTCTATTGTATGTACTGAGAACAGTACCTGGAGTCCTTTAACCCAGTTCACCTGTATCAACGCAAGTCAGCTTACCACTGGCTGGGCTGGTTCAGCATCTTTATCAATCAACATAATATACTGCCTCCTGGCTCTTCTCATCACCCTGATCATTCCACTCATCCTTGTCCGATGCTGTAGGAACAGGTGTTGCAGGAGAGTGGAGAAAGCAGAAACTAGATCAGATCTCCTCAAATCTCCCAACTCAGATCTCCGGGAGTACGACCTAAGCAGGACGGATAGTGTTGGCTCTGAATTTGACGCCTACAGTGTCTCCGGTATCAAAACCCCCAGTATCGGAGTTTACAACGTAACCACAGGATCCATCATTCATCCGGCAACAGTAAATCCAAGCACTCTGAGATCATTCTCAACCTCACACAATACCTTCAAACCTTTAAACTATCCTCTTCAATCACTCTCTCTTCACTCCTGGAGCTCTGTACCCTCTTCTATACCAAACATACAATCCCTGCCTCCTGGTTTCCTACCTGGTAGTTATGTTGGAACCCCGATCTCTTTCCCAGGGAATTCAAGGTTTCCAGGTGGCAGCATTGGTTTCCCACCCGGATACAATGCTGGGAGTAATACTAGAAAATTATCCAAGACTGACGAACCTAAGATTGACGAGTCCGGGTATGCAACCCTTATCTTGAAGAAGGAACCTCTGTATGAACAGGTTACTCCAGAACCTGAACCCGAACCCGTTACCTACGACAGTGTACCCAGACGATATAGCGTACATGAATACATGAACACGGAGTCCCTGGCCAAAGTGGTTGAAAATATACCGGAACAGGAGGACACTTCCTCGTTCCCTGACCTTCTGGAGATGGTTACTAAGAGCAAAACTCCAAGTCCTGTTGCAAGAATGAGAAATGTAACTCCGGACAATACTGACATTGCGCAGTTGTATGCAAAGGTGAGAAGTAAGACGTTTTTCAGCAATTCTCTTGTAAACACTGAATGACACTGTTAACTTACTTGTGACAATTTTTCATTGTTTAACATAGATTACAAGGATTTCATACGCTGCAGCAGCACATTGGTTTAATTTATTTACACATCTTTTATCGTAGATAACAAGGTTTTGAAAAGTACAATTCACAGATGTATGATAATAGATTGTTCTCATATAAGAAATAAACTGATTTTGATCTCTGATACTCCAGGTTGACCTGGAGAAGAAGCGGAGTAGTCGTCCTAGCTCCGGGGAGAATTATGAACCAGTGGTTGGACAATCCTTGGATTCATCCTATACCAAGGGATTGATAAACAAGTTTAACTCTCTTATCTAGAGTCAAATAGTAAACTTCTAAATTATAGATACTGGTTTTGGGTTTAAAAGATAATGTAAAAAAACCAATAGAAAATATTGTTCGTCAAGGTCAGAAGAATGTTTGATTGTTTCCGGCCTTTTGTTAAACATTAACGGAAGTAATAGCAAAATAATGAAAGGGATTTTAGTTTTAACCATAATTAGGTTCTTTTGTTCGCAAGCAAGTATAGATATATTAAAGATCTTCTCTTTAAAATATTATGACCACGTGCCTTTATTAGATTGTTTGTTAAACAACTTTAATTTTGTGGGTTAGAAGAAAAATTTTCTAGACGAATTCATACAATTTTAGAAAAACATGTAAATCGAAACATTTTCTAAATACCGGGGTATTATAATTCCCCAAAATAGCTTTGTAAAGTATAATTCATAAAAATTTTCTAGTCATTCAACTGTTAAATTGTTTTAACTGCTTGCGTGTTTATTTTTGACGTTGAAAGTTTCTAAGCTGTTTAAAACTTGTAAATATTTTAGCTGTAATAAATTTTGTTATAAAAATTCTTTCACTTAAATAATGTATAAAAATTGTGTTGAAAATAATGCTTGCCGAGATTACCTAAAACTAGTTCATCATACTCTAAAGCAGGGTTTCATCCTAATAGGATGGCAAACGTAATTATAACTTTATTTTTGTGTTGAAAGATTATTATAAACATCTACAGAAATGGTTTCCTTAAATATTAAGAATCGAGGATGAAAATATTTTCGTTAAAAAATTGCATCCTTGAACTGCAGCCTTTCCAGGAAAGGACTGACAAATTTATAACTGAGACAAAGAATTGATTTTTTTTCAGTTTTTACTAGTTCTCCGCCAGCTTTACTAACATAATGGTTTAAAGCGCGACGCTTGGTGGAATTTATTTAACTTCAGGGGGGAGGGGATACAGGAATTCATATGGGCTGAGGGCTGGTTAACTTAAATGTTAAACCGCAGTCAGGTACAGTACAGCGCTCCATCTGCCCGGTTATGTACAGCGCTCCATCTGCACTGTGAGGTACTGCGCTCCATCTGCCAAGTCAGGTACAGTGCTCCATCTGTCAAGTCATGTACAGCCCTCCATCTGCCAAGTCAGGTACAGTGCTCCATCTGTCAAGTCAGGTACAGCCCTCCATCTGCCAAGTCAGGTACAGCCCTCCATCTGCCAAGTCAGGTACATTGCTCCATCTGTCAAGTCAGGTACAGCGCTCCATCTGTCAAGTCAGGTACAGCGCTCCATCTGTCAAGTCAGGTACAGCGCTCCATCTGCCCGGTCATGTACAATGCTCCATCTGCCCAGTCAGGTACAGTGCTCCAACTGCCTGGTCATGTACAATGCTCCATCTGCCCAGTCAGGTACAGCGCTTCACCTGCCCGGTCACATATACAGCGCTCCATCTGCCAAGTCAGGTACAGCGCTCCACCTGTCCTGAGGAGAGCAAATTCTCAAAGAGATTATTATTAGTTACATATAATCCGCTCATAATTCAACAATTATCTCCCTAGTCCTATCTGTGTATTATGTGCCTGGGATTAACTGAGAAACTTTAATTGCTTCAAGTTTGCAAGGTGTTTGAGCGTAACTAATGTTTGAGAAGAAATTAACTTTAACGATGGTTAATTTAACTTTCAATTTTCAGGTTTTGAATCATCTAGAAAACACTGGAACATAAAACACGAAAACAGGAAACAAAGTAAAACTGGAAATAGGAAAGAAGACACAGGAATAAAGAGAGAACAAGAGAAAATAATAGAATGAAAGCAAAACTTAAAACAATAGAGCACTGGAATAAGAGATGCAGAAGAACAGAAAAGGCAGAAACAAACAGAGAAAAAGAAACGTGAAAAACAGGAACACAGTAGGAAATATGGACTGGATATTTGGAAACAGGAAAACATCTAAGCCACCGAGCAAACTGAAAACTGGGGGACATAAACAACCGGAAACAGGAAAATAGAGAACAAGAAAAAAGGAGAACAGGATACCCCTTAGCTTTTTTGTTCTTTATGATTATGATTGAGTAGAATTAAATATAAAATTATTTATTCAGACTGAAAGTTTCGTTAGAAAACTGCTGAACAGCAAAATGTTTGAAACTAGAAACTTTTAAATTTGTGGATTAGGAAATGCAACAGGACATAAGGTGCTGCATGAGCATAGTAAAATTAAATTTTAAGTTTATTTTAGTTCTAGGCTTTTAGGAAGCTTCACGTCCCCTTTCCTTTAAATAATTTTAGCTTTTAAATGTTGCTTTGAAAGTCAGTCTTTTAAAATCATTTTTAAACTTCGGCGGATTTTTCTTTTTGAATTGGCGCATTTTTTCCTATAAAAAATTCAAAATATTTTCCAGGATTTTTTTGCCAGTTTTGATGTTCCATAACCCTTCCCTAGGGTCATGTGAGGTCCCACACAAAATTTGGGCTCGATCGGTTCAGCTGTTTTGACGTTTATTGGATACAAAAAAACAGACACCCAGACAAGCAAAGTATATGAATAGAAAGTGCATATCCTTAAATTTTTTAAATAGTAAAAATCCTCATTGTAAATCTTTAATCATTTTTTAAAATTTTGTCGAAACAAAATCATGGTTAGATCTACAAAAATTTCATTCTACATGATCTACAAATTAGTCCATTTAAGAAACTTGGGTGGTTGGCGTGGTGCGCAGTTTTATAGCAGTTTGCAGTTAAAATACCTTTTGGAAATACAGAGACGACTATTCTCTCATCTTCAATCTACGCGGCAGAAAAGGAGCAATATACTACCGGGATTTCTCTGTCTTGGGTTTCCCAAATGTGTTCTGCCTTTTTCATACTTTCGTACTTGACGGAAATATTGAGAAATATTTCTTTCTATTTCAGTTTATTTGAATTCTAAATATTGATTATCTCCGTTAATTTTTTTAGATTTTTCAGAAACTAAAATCAAAGATGATATAAATAATTATAGGTACTTTCCCAATTCCATTTTCCCAAGCAGCAACTTCCTAGAGGTATTTTCCAAAGTGGCAATTTCCCAATTGTGCAATTTCCCAATCAGCAACTTCCCAGCCGCAGCGCTCGGCCCCCTAGCCCATCCTTCCCGCAGCGCTCGGCCCCATTGCAAGGCCCAACCTAGCCTATGGAAAGTTGTCGCTTGTGAAATTGCACATTTGGGAAGGTGCCACTTGGGAAATTGTCGCATGAGAAATCGCCCTTGGGTAAATACCTTTGGGTAAATACCTAACACGGATATAAATGTCTGCATCTGCGTATCTTATCCTTCTTTTAAAAAGCCTCTGGTTTTAAAAAGTGAAGAAATGAAATACATAGCTCTGTAAATATATAGCTCTGTAAATATATAGCTCTGTAAAGTTCTGAAAACTATTGGCTGAGGTAAAGGTTTTGTATAGTTAAAGCTGAGTCAGGAGGAACAAGTTTTACAAAAAGAAACTTAAAAATAGAAATTACGAAATATTTAAAATTTTGTCACATTTTTAGGTCAATGTTAAATAAAGAGGGTCACTTAAAAACATGCCAAAATCCCATAAAAATCAAATTTTGTGTTAAAATCTCATTAATTCAGATAATGCAACTAAAGGTGATTTTATTTTGAAAATTTTAAACAAAGTTTTTTGTGGATCTTAAGGAATTTAACTTCTGATTTATTTTTAAACTGTTTTTAGAAAATTTAAGGAGAATGCACCCCAAGCTAAATGTAACCCTATCATTTATTCTGGAGTGTTGCCAAAAAGAAGTTGAAAAAAAACGCTAATTTTAGGAAAACCCATCATCACCACATTCCCCTCTAGTTTCAACTAACTTTACCCTAGCTTATCATTCCCCGTATCCTAATCACCTTTCACAGTTTTTTGATCGAGTTTTAAATTATGTTTGTAAACCTTCTTTCTTTACTAAACAAAATTATTTATAGATCATTAAAGTGGTTTAAACATTATCAGCAGTTGGGCCAAAATCAGCGAAATGAATTTGAAATAAATCTGCAATTGATGATATTAAAAAGTGCGGTTTTATGGGGTTTGTTTAAGTATTAGAGTTTAAAATAACTCTTATTGCACATATATTGTTTTGGTTTGCAGTTGAGAAAAAAACGGGAACCAGTTTAACTTTATTATTTCGCTCATTTGTAGAATATGGAATATTCGCCTGGGGGAGAAATAAAAGTCCAGAAATAAAAAAAAATAGCTTGCTCCAAAAACGTGCAGTAAGAATTATTGATAATGCAAGAACAGTTTCACATGCCGACCCTCTTTTCCTTAAGTATAAAATCCTTGAGTTAAATGATTTGACTGAATTTAATCAAGCAACATTTATGTATAAATACACGAAATACTTTCTACCCTCCCTCATTTAACAAAACTTTTAAAAAACTCCGAAATTTTGAAAGATCTCTAACTATCAAATTGACATTTTAAATACAGGCTTATTAGAATATCTTCCCTCATATGCACTTTTTAACATATGGAATAACCTGCCACTTGATTTAAAAAGAAGTGCCTCGTTAGGCATTATTAAAAACAGTTTATTTGCAATCTTATCTGACTCCTACATCTCAAAGTGCAATAAACCTTCTTGTTATTCTTGCAAAAAATGAATATAGAACTTTGTAGATTTTTGTACATGTTTAATCATATTCTGTTATACGTACTAAACTTTAAAACTGAAAAATCAATTATTTTGGTATGCTGCACCTCGGTCTCTCTAAATTTAACTAGCAATCCCTGACTCATTGTAAACTTTCAGAATCTAGTAATATTCATCATATTGCAAACGTTTTAATATTAATTAGGTGGGCATAATAGCCAAAACAGCTTACATACATATAGTAAACAATATAAAAATATAAAAAATATGTGGCAGATTTTTTGCCTATAACATTATGTCTTTTATGTGTATTTTTAGCAATAAACTATATCTTATCTTATCTTATTATACTTTACAGCACAGTGCTATAATACACAGCTAATTTAACTTTATAGCACGATGGCTACTTTATAGCGCGACCATAAGGAAATTTATTAAGAAGTGACATGTGTGATAGAGTACACAATATCTCTAGGGAAAATAATTTTCTGCTTAAACTTGAAAATAGATATAATTCTAGATAGAGAGTATCAAAGAGCAATATATCATCATTACTGTACAACAACAGATTTGCAGGGAAAAGGTCAGATAACACCGCGATATCATGATCTTGGAGTAAATAAACGATGAACATTTTTAAGAATTTTAAAAGAATTTTTAATGATAACAAAACTGTGAAAGCTATTTAACTTTTTTTACAGGAACTGAGTCTTTTCCACAAACTCTAATTTTTTATGTTTGCAAACCAATGTCTTAGAGCTTAGATATCTCACACTATGCAATCTGTTGGATAAAATATCATGTATTCATGATTTATGTTGATTTGTAAATCTCAACATTCCAAAATTATTTTATGAAAATAGGTTTGGAAATAAAATAAATCTTATTGTTCTTGAATCATCTTGTAAAATATATCTAAATATTTGCTTATTTTCACATTTTTGACACTTTTTGAGAAAATCAAAACTACCCGAAACAAGTTTGATAAAATTTATTTGTAAGTATTTTTATTAAATATATATATATTAAGATATTAGTCCGACATTAATTATTCCAATATAGTTGTTAATATAGATTAGATTGTATATCACTGGTTTAGTTTTAATGAAGTTTAGGATGAGCCGGAGAACTAGATCCTCTTCCTTTCCATCCTCCACTCCAGGTCCTATACTCCTCAACCTTGCCCCTGGAGCTCTGTCTGGGAGGAGGAGGAGGGTTGGATACATCTTCTGGAGGAGGAGCAGGAAGATCCTCATCCTCTCCCCAGTATTCAGGTTCACGTCGGAACATGCTCCCAATCCTACGACTAGGAGTCGGAGTAAACCTGTCTTCACTTCCAGATTTCTCCCGTTTATCCCTATGTTGCCACACAGCTGCAGTTTCTTTAACCCTGCTCCTCGTATCCTCAGAAACCTCCAGCTCAGGAGTTTTTGTAGCTAGTCCTCGTTCCCTAGTATCCTCCTCATTAGAATTAATATTGCGTAACAAGGATATTTGCCTGAGTTCTTCAGCTCGTTCTTGTCTTAGGATTTCTTCGCGTGATATCAGTTGAGAATCTAGCTCTGAGCACCTGTCCGTAAGGGCAATTAGTTCCAGGTTCCGATCTAGTTTCATCTGTTTCTCTTTTTGAGCCGATGTATATTCTGGTTCTTGTAATGTCTGTCTGTTTAACAGCTCCGTGAGTTCTCTCTCCCTCTCTTCTCTGAGTTGGATTTCCTTGAGCTCTGTCGGAGAAAAGAGACATTCATCCTCTACAGCCTCAATCCGTCGATTATACAGGGATAAAAGCTCTGCTTCTCTCTCCAGCTTAGTCTGACTATACGAGTTTTCACCGTTCTTCTCTTCTCTCATTCTTGATCGAGATCGGGATCGTTTAACATCTTCAAGTTCCTGTAATTTTTCTTGCCTCAGGATCTCAGATTTATCTAGACTAGAATGCTCGAAATTTCTAGAATCCGACCGGTGCAGTTTAACTGCCTGGAGTTCTAATTCTCTCATTTCTTTGGTCTGTTCAAATTTATCCGAATTTGAACGTTTCAAGAAGGATTCTCTTGATTCCTTAACTTTTCCTCTCACACCTTCTCGAAATTCCTTAGACAACTCAAATTCAGCACTTTTTTGAAAGGATTTTTCGAATGAAGTATTTTTTTGAAATTTTTTCCTAATTTCAGAGGGGGATTGGGGAACGGAGATCACACTGGTTAAATCATTGCTCTGCTCTGGGGTAGTCGGATTCTCTGGTTTTATTATTGTTCTCTCTGAAACTCTGTTCTCTATAACTGTGGTATCACTTCGAACAGATTTGTTGTCGAAATCTTCAATGGACGAGATTTTAAGATCTTCAGAACTGCAAACAGATTTGGTAAAAACTTTAGCTTGACCTTGGGGAGCTGGATTATGAGTTTGAGGAAATGGTTTGTGAGCTTGAGAAGCTGGATTGTGAGTTTGAGGAACTGGTTTGTGAGCTTGAGAATCTGGATTGTGAGTTTGAGGAGCTGCATTATGAGTTTGAGAAGCTGGATTGTGAGCTTGAGAAGCTGGATTGTGAGTTTGAGGAGCTGGATTATGAGTTTGAGAAGCTGGATTGTGAACTTGAGAAGCTGAATTGTGAGCTTGAGGAGCTGGACTATGAGCTTGGGAAGCTGAATTGTGAGCTTTAGGAGCTGGACTATGAGCTTGGGAAGCTGAATTGTGAGCTTGAGAAGCTGGATTGTGAACATGAGAAGCTGAATTGTGAGCTTTAGGAGCTGGACTTTGAGCTTGGGAAGCTAAATTGTGAGGTTGAGGAGCTGAATTGTGAGTGTGAAAAGCTATGTTATGTGCTTGAGGAGCTGAGTTGTGAGCTTCATGAGCTGGATTGTGAGCTTGAGGCACAGGATCCTGAACTTGAAACACAGCATTGTTAGATGCACGAACAGGATTTGTCTGTTTTTTGTTTTCTAAATCTGAATTATTAAACCAGTGAGCAGTAACAGGAACCGGAGTATCCTGGACAGGAGACTGTAAACTCTGCATATTGGAGAAGGATGAGGAAACTGATATGTTCTCAAGATCATCAAACCAAGAGTTCTTTACTGGTAGAGGTATCGCTCCGCTACTGCAATTAGATAGAACAGAATTAATACTCTGGGTGGAGTTGGAACTCTGAAGGTAATTCTGAACCATGTCTTGTCTAGAAACAGAACTCTCAAGGGTGGAAAACTTGTTAGAATAACTCTTCACACTGGAATCTTGGTTAGATTTGGGTTTAGTTTCATTTCCATCTCTGGGAACTAAGTGAGAACGCTTGGTTTCATGACAAGGTTTAGGATCTCTCTTTGGTTCCAATTCAGGTTTAGTATCAGGACACTTACCTCCGAAACTCTGATTTCTCTCCGGAGTAGGAGGAGGTTGAGAACCTGAACCTGCACTATAAGAACTAGACATACTGGAGGTGGCCATTGAGCTTGAGGTCACCATCTCCTGTTTCTGAGAGAAGGATTGGACTTTACTCTCTTGCATGAGGTTGCTCATTTGAGAGTGAGCGTTGCTGGATATATGAATATTCTGGGTGGATCCTAGACCCTTCTCAACACATACATTTACTAGTTTTACACTAGGCTCAGGAGTCTTAGTTCTCCAGGAGTTTGCGGATTTTTCATTTTCCATTTTAGCAACTTTGTTCTCTGCAAATACTTGTCCAATATGCCGGGATGGAACGGGAGTAGTTCTCTCCGAGATTGTTTGATCTTGCTTTCCCCAGCTTGTAATAGTTTCATTGACCTTGTTTGTTTTTACCTCCTGACTCTTGAGAAAGGTTTGATTTGTCTGTTCGTCATATTTCTCCTTAGTCCAAGAGTTTGCAGGAATAGCTCTATGTCTAGGTCGCCCTCGTTCCTCTTCCTGCATCACTGCAGCGCTGGACTTACTCTTAGAAAGAAAACCTGAAGTTATATTTTTAACTGAACCTGTACCCGGAGCTCCTAAAGAGGAACCTGGTCTTGATTCAGGATCCTCGTTTTCTTTCTGCTTCGTGTTCCAACCATCCATCCTTCGGCGTCGAGGAGCAGGACTTAAAGTCTGACTTCCCATCCTATCCGCTGAGGTAGAACGTATCCAGAAGTTTCTCTTCTCATTGACTTGTCCTGTTTTCACTTTTCCGAGATGTTCTCCTCCTCTCAGTGCTTCATTGATCCTATCCTGAGAACAATCAATTGATTTGTTTTTCGAGAGTTTGGGAATATGAGCTCGAACCTTGATAGACTCTTGATTCTGCTGATGTTGAAGCAATTGCTCCTGTTCAATTCTTTGCTGTTCCATTTGTTGCTGTTTCTCATAAATAGCTTGCTGTTGCATCTCGTACTTTCTCCTCATTTCCTGTTCCAGTCTCATCTCTTCCTGCCTTTTAGCCTCTTCCTCCATCTTCAGAGCTTCATATCTTATTATTTCCTGTCTTTTTAACTCTTCCTGTCGACGGAACTCAATTTCTTCCGCTTCTTTTTTTCTCAGTTCTTCGATTCTTCTTCTTTCTGCGTCTTGTCTTGCCCTTTCTTCCTCAATTCTTCGCTTTTCTTCCTGTCTTCGCCTACTCTCCTCTTCCTGTCTTCTCCTTTGTTCCTCTTCTCGCCTTCTCAAATCTTCCTGTCGTTTCCTTTCTTCCTCCTCTTGTCTTCTCATCTCTTCCTGTCTTTTCCTTTCTCCTTCTTCTTGTCTTCTCATCTCCTCCTGTCTTCTTTTTTCTTCAAGAAGACGAAACTCTTCTTTTCTTCGCAGCTCTTCGAATCTTTGACTTTCCTGTATTTCTTGTTGCCTCCTAAATTCTTCTTGTTTTGCTTCTTCTTGTCTTCTCAGCTCTTGTCTTCGTCTCTCCTCTTGCTGAAATGTCATACCAGTAGTTCCTCGTCTAGTCTGATCCTGTATGTATACAGGTCCATGGAGCTGCTGGGATGTATGAGCAGGAGTTGCATGAAATATTCCTCCACTTTGACCAGACTTACTTTCAACCTTAAATATAGAAATATCAGAAACATCTGGAAATAAGAAAATGAAATTATTTTATCGCTTTTTTAACAATAATGGAAAAACTGTTGTGTACATAAAGCTCCTGGAAATTAAAATTTAACATCAGCTTAAAATTGAAGTTTATGTAAGATTATAACTCCCTTCTCTACACTTCTTTCTCTCTCAAATATACATTTAACATTTCGGTGTTCGGAATAATAGATTTATGTGGGGGATTTCTTAATACCCCACTGCGGACAGGATTTATATCTCGGGGAAAAAAATAAAAAGTTTAAAATATCGTAAACAGAGGGGGAACAGGGTTAAGCTGTGCTATACTTTATATTGAAACTAGAACGCTTAAAGGTTAATTTTCTAATTATTTTTACAAGCAAGCTTTAATTAATTAATAGCTAAATAGCTAATGCTAAATTAAATTATTAGTATTGCAGGAGGTACGAACCCCTGAAAGACTGAACTAGGATGACACTACCAAGGTTCGCCTCCTCTAGGTTCCGACCCCTATGCTCTGCAGCCTACCTTGATATTAGTTTTATCCGTGTTAGAGTTTGCGACGAAGGTTTCAAGACCAGGAATAGACTTCTGGCGCTCCCAAAACTGCTGGACCAGTTGGTTCTGAACCCATATCGTAAATATTAGGACAAAGCTGATGCAGATGCGTAGCATTGATTAGTAGGATTAAAATGCGTGGCATATTGAGACGGACGAGTGGTTAAAGGGGGTTTTAAAGATAGAATTAACTTTATAATGTAATCAACTTTAAATGGAAGCAATGATATGAGAAAAGGAAAATAAAACTGGAGGGATTACAGGGAATAAGCGAGAAATGTTTAGGATCTATGAAAGGATTAAACGACTAGCCAACTGAATTTTTAAGGATTTCAAAAAGGATTACAATGATTGGATTAAGGATTCAATAAGATTTTAAAAGAATAAAAAATTGGTAAACTAATTTAAAACAAAATCCAATGATTTGAATTTTAGGAATTTAGAACTCAGGTTTAAAGATAAAAAAGAAAGAAGGAACAAGAAAGAGGTTTCAAGAAAGGATTCGCCATTGGGGTTTTACAAGTAATAAAACAAGAAACTGACGACAAATATGCTGGATTATTTAGATAACAAAGTTTTAATTTGATTATTTTTTTTTTAGATTTGGAATATCAAATTCTATTTAGAAGTTAATTTTATTAAGATAACAAGCTTTTTTTTGTTAATTTTAAACTTCTTTTTGAACTTAGCGTAATTTTCAAATTCAAGAAATTACAACTAAGTTCAATATTTTGCCTCTATTACATAAAAAAAAAATGCTGCAACTCCCTAGTGGCAATTTTACAAGTGGCAATTTTACAATAGTAAAATTTCCTAAGCGGCAACTTCCCAAAGGTTATGTTAAGACTTCTGAGCTGGTGCCCCAGGCTGCAAGGGGGTGGGGCCGAGCGCTGCGGCTAGAGTGGGCTAGGGGGCCGAGCGCTGCGGCTAGAACAGACTTTGGAAGTTGCCGCTTGGGGAGTTTCCACTTAGAAAATTACTCCTTGGGAAGTTACCGCTTATGAAAAGCCTTTGGGAAAGTACCCAACATCAGAAAAATTCCCAGAAACACTTCCTCAGTAAAGAAGTCTGAGATTAACAATATTAAAAAATTTGTCATAACATCTATAATCTAGTTTAGGTTTAAGCTGGTTACATCCTTGTTTCAGGGTTGAACTCCATGCTTGTTGAAGTATAAGATTAATGTATTACCTGGTGAAGTTGAGAGGTTTGAGTCTCCAGGTTCCACTCTTCCTAAAAAATATCTAGGATTAAAAACTGCTCAGCGGATAATATTTTTAATTAAAACCCAACATCAATTATTGTAACTATAAAATCTAAAGAAAAACGCAAATACAAGTTATGTAAATTGTACAATAATAAAATACTTGTACAGTTCTTTATGTACAGTATTCTGTAAACATGTTGTGCATGCAAGATTTGTATATACACGAACGTTGCAACCATTTTATCGCTACTTAGTACTAATCTCCTTTTTCTTTCAAGGCTGCTTATTAGTATCAACTGTACTGCAGAGTTTAGCAGTACAGGGTGTCAAAAAAAAACGTCAGGATAATGTCTTAGTTTTTTACGGATGCACAACTTTTTTCCTATTAGATATCTGCATAGAGCTGTTGATCTAACAACGTAATCTGGAGTTGTTGTTCTTAGTATGTTTCATGTTTGTTATCACTCTCAAATAAAATATGTCTGAAAAAGATTTTAAAGTAAAATAAAATTGTTAGCTAATGATGAGGTAAAAAGGATTAACTCCTGAGATAAAATAAAAGTGTAGTTTTTCAGCATATCATATAGTAATATCTTTATCTTCAGTCTCCTTCTAGAATATTCATCATATAGTAATATCTTTATCTTCAGTCTCCTTCTAGAATATTCATCATATAGTAATATCTTTATCTTCAGTCTCCTTCTAGAATATTCAGCATATAGTAATATCTTTATCTTAAGTCTTCTTCTAGAATATTCAACTTATAAAAAATTCAAGGACACTTTAAAAATGAAGAAAGTTCAATTATTTCATTTTCTGTCTAAAGTTTCGCAATGACGAACGTTTTCAAGTTTGGAAAGAACACCGAATACATAGAAACACAGGTATTTTTTTTTTTGAAAAAAAGGTTCAATATTGAAGAGTTATCCAATGAACAATTTTAAATGATTTCATAAATTGAGTAATAGGTAAAATGTACTCTGAGAGTTTATCCTATGTGAAAGTAAAAAAACTAATTTAAGTACAATTCTTCTCCTTAAACTATAAAAAAACGGATTAAAATAAAGATTAGTAAAATAAGTACTAGCGCTACAGGTCAAACAATTAACGTCGACCTTCAAATTCAGTTTTTTTCTTTTCGGACAATATTTTCTTAATTTTGCTTTTAAATCGGACTGTTAGATAGATAGATTGTGATGTACCTATGTTGTGTTCTTTTGTTATCCAGGAGAAGATATTTCTAGGAAAAATCTAATCTTTCACTTAGATCTATTTTGAAAAATTGGGAAAAATAACTATACAAAACAAACTTTGAAAATTACTACGTCTTAAACACAAAATTCTCTCTCACCAGAAGATTAGCTTACATAGAAAATAAATAAACTCTAAAATTCCTCTAAAAGATTATGCATTTTTATTGATTGGGTAATGAAAGATGAATTTCAACGAAAATTGAAAATTCCCCAAAGTTTGAAAATACCTGAATTCTCTATAGTTGCAAAATTCTGGGAACACATTTTTTATTTTTCAAACCATTTTTATTTAATGTTTTATTTAGACTATTTTGAAGGAAAAGGGAAAATTTAAAATGTATTTAATTGATGTGAAAATGATAAAGTTGGGAATTCAACTTTTTCACGGAATTTAGTCAAATATTTCAACCGAAGGTCGGCTCATCATTTTAAATATCAATATTATGCATTAGTATAAATATTTATATTTTCATCGGCAGGACGGTCGATGATTAATAGAGGGGGGAGGAAGGGGGGGAGTCGGTAGGGGAGGGGGTGGGTCTGGAGAAAAGCCAGGTTAAATAAAAAAGTGTTCTCGTTTAGCAATTTTTATTGCTGAGATCTTGTATATTTAAAGATTTAAAGCCCAGGCAAACTAGGGAAGGAGTTGGCTAAAAATGCAGTTTCAGCGTGTCAGCTGTTTTCACCTTACTAGAGAGTTTCTACTTTAGATCTTTTTATTTTTAGTTCTTACTTCATCGGGGTAATTTACTAGAGAGCGAGAAAAAATGTCTAAATACGTTAGAACGTGAAAACAAATTGTTTTCTAATGTATTCTTTCAAACTGTTTTTATTGTTAGGAAAACCTGGATGTCTTGTTTCCACCATGTTTTTCAACATTTAAAAATAGGGATTGATAGATACCTTAATGTCAGAATTCTTCTCCATGTTTTTTACCACGGACTCTGCAATGTCGTAGGCAAACCTCTCCAACTCCCTGTGAATACCCTCCGTGGACTGGGAGGTGGATTCCACCCACTGCTTCACAATCTTCTCCTTGTTCTCCTCTGAGAGCTGGTTCACTGACTCTTCGGATAGTTTGCTCCTGGTGTCACTGCTAGACGGAGGAGGAGGGAAATTCTCGTCTTTGGTGGAGAGATTGGCTCTGACCGGAGGTGGAGGAGGTTCAGGAGTTTTTGTAGACATCATCCTCTCCTCTTCAACCTGTGACTTGTTGAAGTTCATTTCTCTTCTTCTTGGAGGAGGAGTCTTGGACGGGATATTCTCAATAGATCCGTGTATTCTCTCCTCCCAGTCCAGAGTATTAACACGTCCTATCTCTGCAAACCTCCTGGAGTCAACATCTGTCCTAGAACCTGGTCTCTCAATCTGGTTGGTCCACATCTCATCCACATGACTCCTGTTTCCTGATGGAGACCTATTTCTAAAGGATCCGTTCCTGCTCACGGGACGAGAGTTTCCACGGGACTCAAAACCTCCTCTTTCGAAAGATCTGGCTCGATCCATGAAGGTTTTTGATCTACTGTTAGACCTACTCATCCGGTTAAATCCCTGTTTTACCTCTTCATCTCCAGATCTAGTGTTTAACCTTGGGTTTGACTCCGTGGCCTCGGTTCCCCTCTTCAATGTGCTCTGGTAGGTTTTGTTTGACTCCAAGGTCTGGTTGAGAACTCGAGTCTGGTTTGCAGGCCAGACAACTCTTCGGCCGGATTCATCTCCGGAGTAGTTACTTCCGGACTCAGCGTCGTGCTTCTAAAATATCCAATCTTACATCTTATGATCAAGTAACTTCCCTGTATGCATCTTGTCTTATGAGAGCACGTATTATAAATAGGGTTCTCCTTGCCACGGGCGGAACAAGTGTCCTTGGATTTAAAACTTAATAAGTAAAGTATGTCTCCCTAATTGGCCGAATTTCTCAGTTTGTTTTCTACTGACACGAGGAGCTATTTTAAAGGAAAGAAAAATATTTAAATCTCCGAGTGTATAATTGAACTGAAGTGAGGATATGGCTAATTAGTTTGTACACAACTGGGCGCAAAAAATATTTGAATGCGTGGATAGAATTAATTCAAAAAAAGATATATGTAGCGATATATATATATCCATAGACACAGTAGTTCGTCTTATTAGGAATCATCAGTATGGCTCAATTTTATCAGATTTTGATATTGCAGTTGGCGGGGCTTGAACTGTGAACCCTTGTATTACAAATCAAACACGCTAACCACTGCTCCATAAAACCCTGACAATTAGGTAATGAAAAAGGGACCAGAGAGCTCAACCAACTCATTACAAGTTGAGGGCCTTGCATAATACTAATTAGTACACCTATTCATTATCACAGAGTTTTCAAGTTTAGTGGACTAAACGAGCATATATATACCATACTAACCCAAAAACCTAAAAATACTATATAAAGGTTTACATATTTTAAGGCATATTTATGCGACAATTTGTACGCTCAATTTTTTTTGGTAAAGAACTTGCGTAAATTTACGTATTTTTACGCATTTATAATACCAAGCGGTTTTTATGTGGTTAGGTTTTCCAGTAATGTATATTTACGAATAATTGCGTATACTTTTTATCAGGTAATTTTTTTAAGTTTTTATTTCACGTATTTTTACGTATTTTTCGGGGTTTTTTTTACTTAAAAGATTTGTGTTTTTTAGAGTGTAAAAATTTTATGCAAACTTAAAAATACGTATATTTTCGTAAATTTTATACCAAATAATTTTTCAAAGTTTTTAGGTTTTTATTTTACGTATTTTTTCGGTTTTTCTTTACTTAATTTTTTTAAAGAGTTTAAAAATTTAAGGCAAACTTAAAAATATGTTTATTTTCGTAAATTTCATGCCAACTAATTTTTTATGTGTCAATATATTCATGAAACCTCAACTGCACAAAAAGGCATTTTTAAGTTAGAATTCAAAAATATTTTATGATTTTTCAAGAGAATTGTTATCTAAGATATTTAATGCAAACATTTTGGTAAATACAATGTTTCAAAATTTCTATGATTTTGGAGTAAATTGATGTTTTTAATACAATCAATGTCAGTAATTTTTTTGATAAATAGAAGTTCTATTTTAACAATCTTGTTATTGGTATGGTAAGTGTATGAAGTGTAATAGATAATAAATACGTAATTGTTAAAGATAAAGACAAATTGCATATATGAATGTTGATTTATATGGATACAGATGAAGGAATGGTGATGGTGTGAATTTGTACTATAGAAGAATATTGGATTGGATTGAAAATAATTGATATCTATTTGATTAAAGAAATTTGTTGAATTAGTTCTATATACATGAAGGAACAATGTACATGCAAAATTTAGAACTTAAATATGCCTTAAAAATGCGTATTTTTACGTATAGGTGAAACCTACAAATACTAGGTGAAACCTAAGAAATATTAGGATTTTTTTCAGCCCTAAATCTAGTAAAGGAAAATGTCACATAATTCCAACCTTTGTACACCGTACAGGGTGTCCCACTTAAAAGGCGACTTTAAGATCGTCTTTAATCTTGATAGCCTAATGACAAAAAAAACTTAAACTACTTTTAAGGTCCATAAAGTCGGTAACTCCTGAAAACCTTTTTAAGATACACACTTTGTCCCTAGATCGTTACAAAAATCGAATAAGTCTCTCAACTGACATGTTCACTGGGACACCCTGTAGAACAGAATCCCAGTGAGAAAACCCCAAACCTACTTAATATTTGTAAATACGTGTACGAAGTAAGGAATTATATTTTCATATATCTCCATAAACTAGTTTATGGGCACAAGTTTACAAGCTATAACCTTTATATGCATTGCTAAGCATGACAATATAAAGAAGAATTATGAATGAGGGTTTAAAGTTATAAACTCAAAATATAGCTTGGCGGGAATTTTTAAAGTTTTTACTTATCATCACTTTTATAAGTTTTAACTTCAGGAAGATGAGTCTTTCTATGTTTACTCTCATAAAGTTAATTGGATTCAGTCCATTCAGATAAAAAACTCGTTTTTTTCTTTCTTTAATTATTTTTTTTTCGAATTTTATAACTTTTTGCTATGGAGGAGAGAAAAACAAAAAATCGAACCCATTTCTGGACTTTTTAAGATTTTATTAGTTATAGAACATACGATTAATAAATCAGTAATTGAAAATTGTGCAATTATTTAAAAAAAATATAAATTGATTATATTAAAATAGTAAAATTTTTGCGAAGAGAGTTTAAAATTTACCTTTACTCTTGAGCACATTTTACCCCTACAAGCAAAACAAAATTCCCCTTAAAAATTATCCCGGTTGTCTCATATTAAGCCCCCCCCCCCTTCATCCAGTAATATTAATTTCAGTTTATAGAGTCCAAAATACAGTCTTAACTTGATTTAAATTTAGATTACTAAAGCTGGGATCAATCTCTAAGACATAAACTTCCGACTCAAGCACAATATCATAATATAGATCTTTGCTCACACATAAACATGGTCAGACAAAATACTAGCTTAACAAGTATTTAATATTGAGAATTAGAATTTTTACTTGTTGTCCCTGAAAAATAGACAAATAGACAAGGTATATTTTAGCCAGAAGAGATAAGTAGACAATAAAGACAAGGTTTAGTTTATACAGATAAGTAGACAGTATAGGCAAGGTTTAGTTTATACAGATAAGTAGACAGTATAGACAAGGTTTAGTTTAAACAGATAAGTAGACAGTATAGACAAGGTTTAGTTTATACAGATAAGTAGATAGTATAGACACAGTTTAGTTTATACAGATAAGTAGACAGTATAGTCAAGGTTTAGTTTAAACAGATAAGTAGACAGTATAGACAAGGTTTAGTTTAAACAGATAAGTAGACAGTATAGACAAGGTTTAGTTTATACAGATAAGTAGACAGTAAAGACAAGGTTCAGTTTAAACAGAAGAGATAAGTAGACAATATAGAAAAGGTTTAGTTTAAACAGAAGAGATAAGTAGACAATATAGACAAGGTTTAGTCTGAAGAGAAGTGATAAGTAAACAATACAGGCAAGATTTAGTTTAAACAGAAGAGATAAGTAGACAATATAGACATGGTTTAGTTTAAAAATAAGAGATAAGTAGACAATATAGACAAGGTTTAGTTTATACAGATAAGTAGACAATATAGACAAGGTTTAGTTTAGTAAGAAGAGATAAGTAGACAATATAGACAAGGTTTAGTTTAGTCAGAAGAGAAAAGTAGACAATATAGACATGGTTTAGTTTAGTCAGAAGAGATAAGTAGACAATATAGACAAGGTTTAGTTTAGTCAGAAGAGATAAGTAGACAATATAGACATGGTTTAGTTTAAACAGAAGAGATAAGTAGACAATATAGACAAGGTTTGGTTTAAAGAGAAGAGATAAGGAGACAAGAATGACAGAACTCTGTGAAGTGTGAAGAAGGATTTGTTTGAACTAAATCTAATGTATCGGAGAAGTAAGAGCTTGAATTGGATTAATTCTAACTTTAATCAATGCACAGTGGAGAGGTCAAATTAAACATTAAACAATATTATTGAAATAGTTTTTAGTTATTAATAATAAGTATCAATGAATCTTAATCGAATTATCAATCGATTTGGACAATTTTTATTTCGATCGGATGTTTTCTATTCATCGATCACATTGGAAAACCGCTTTTTTGGCTAGTTCGAGAGGCAGGTAGGTTTTTTTTCCATATTTCGTGTCTATTGTTTTAGTTTTAAACTGTATTATAGAAAGAAAAATATATTCCAAGCTGAAGGAAATTCAGTTTCTTGCAACCATGAGAGATTGGATTGGAAATATTTGCATTTTTAATAAAAATATCAAAAATCAAAAAATATTCAACCTATTTTTGAATATTTTCCTGGGCATAATTTATAATTAAGAAACTGTTATAGCTTAATCAGAAACATCCAATAACATCCAAAAAACATTGGAAAAGGAAAACGGACGACTGTTAAACATTATTTGTGACTAAAAAATAGTCAAATAATCATTAAAAACCAAATTTGCAGTTTAAACTGACCCATTTTACTAAAAAAGCTGATTTTTAAGCTACATATGAAACTTTTTACTTTATAAACACGCTAGATAATGAAAAGATTGGTTTAATGTCATATTCCTATTCCAGAGTTTTAAGGGTCTCACTGTAATTAGAATGGATTCGGGGTGTATTTTATCAAATTAGAATTCATAGTTCATTGTATTGGCTGAAACCAACCTTGTATCGGCTGAAACCAACCTTGTAATGACTAAAACCAACCTTGTATTGACTGAAACCAACCTTGTATTGACTGAAACCAACCTTGTATTGACTTAAACCAACCTTGTATTGACTGAAACCAACCTTCTTGTATTGACTGAAACCAACCTTGTATTGACTGAAACCAACCTTGTATTGACTGAAACCAACCTTGTATTGACTGAAACCAACCTTGTATTGACTGAAACCAACCTTGTATTGACTGAAACCAACCTTGTATTGACTGAAACCAACCTTGTAATGTACTGAATCAAATCTTGTATCGTACTAAAACTACCATGGTATTGTACTGAAACTAACCTTGGCCTGTATTGAAACTTTGTAATGTACTGAAACTAACCTTGTGCTGTACTAAAACTAACTTTGTAATGTACTGAAACTAACCTTGTGCTGTACTGAAACTAACCTTGTGCTGTACTGAAAAACTAACTTTGTAATGTACTGAAACTAACCTTGTGCTGTACTGAAACTAACTTTGTAATCTACTGAAACTAACCTTGTGCTGTACTGAAACTAACTTTGTAATGTACTGAAACTAACCTTGTGCTGCACGGAAACAGCGCAAGTAAAGAATCCGTCCTCGTCCTGTAGAGAAAGTCCATCCTCGTCCTGGAGACAGGACACGCGCTCACCATTACGTGCGCTGTTCATCATTTGTAAACTTTTAGGTTAATTTGCGCGCCAGGTTTCGTTTCGTTCGGTTCGAATATCTGAGTAAGACTGAGAATATGCCGGGCAGTTCAGCCGACCCAAACCTTGCTTTCATATTTCTTAGTCACAAGCACACCCCTGCACTGGATCAAGTTCCCTTAGATAGATACCCACCTTCCCTTAGATAGATACCCACCCTCCCTTAGATAGATACCCACCTTCCCTTAGATAGATACCCACCTTTCCTTATAGAGAAAAAAAAATGGAGAATATAAAGAAACTAAATAACATAATACTCTTAACAAAAATACTGATATCCACAAAATTGCCTAACCGGCCCCATTCGTGGAATCCGAGTTTAAAAACTGGTTTTCCTAAGGATACCCAATCTTAAGTTTTAGGCTCAGAGGGTAAACCTTAGAGTATAATTGAACGAAACTCCAGAGTTTCCTTTTGGGGGGTCTTAACATTTCTGTATTTTTTGATCTATTCGAAGAGATTCGGAAAAATGGAGAATATGAAGAAACGAAATAAAATATAGTTTATAATAAAAATCTGCCTGACCCCGTTCACGAAACCCGGGTTTTAAAACTGGTTCTCATAACCATCCCTGTCTTAAGTTTTGGGCTCAGGGATATTAAGGATTTCTATTTCTCCTGAGTCAGAATTCCTAAATAGAAATTTGGAGATTAACTGGTGAAATGGATTCTGTTCGCCAACAATACAAATTAATAAACAATCTAAAATTTGTTTATTTCTTTTTCTTTTTTATATCTTCATTGTTTATGTAAGAGAAATCATGGACTTCTAAAGACTACAATGAGACCCATAATACTAGGAAGACGACATGTTAACATGCAGATAGTTTTACAGTAGCTTGAAAATCAACCAATTAAATGTATCTGCAGGCAGTGTACAATGCACTATTCATTTTCAGTGAACTACAGGGTTACCAACAAAGGATGAGACTGAAAAGACGACCCAAAACGCTTAAAATATGACAATGTTAAGCTTGATTTATTTTTTCTGCCGCCATATTAATGGTTTACTAAATGATAAAGCAGATAAATAAGCAAGTTTTGGCCTGCAAGGAACCCTGAATGTAAGAAAAGGGGCTGGAAAAATTCCGTACAGTCGTCTTTGAAGTCTCATTCTTTGTGAGTAACCCTGTATTTAAAACTATAACTATCAGTCGTCTTCCTATTTTACAATTGCATGGGTCTAACTGTTGGATAAATGTAAATGCGTAAAATGCGTTTAAAGGGATTGATTTCAAAATTGAACCGATGCTTACAGTATATGAACACAGCTCTTAGCTATCTAACATCTCTTCCTGCAGTTGTTTTACATATGTTTATTGCACTTATGTTTTATTATATCTGTAATAATCTTTAATACAGAAAAACAAACGATTTGATTTGAAAATAATGAATCGAATTTTCTTAAAGATCAAATGTTAAAAAATTTCAAATGTTTTAATCGTTATTGGAGTAAATCATTTACTTTTTGTAACATATTTCTTTGAACTATAGGTCAAGAAGAAGAAATTTCACAAGAAGAAAATTTTACTTCACCGAAAATGTAAAAATAGAAAATTTTAAATATTTTGAAAATTAAATTTCATTTTAAATTTGAATATTTGGCAATATTTTGAGAATAGGGTTGAAAATATGATTTCAGTAGAATAAAGTGATAGATAGATAGATAGATAGATATTTCGGCTAACATCACAATAAATACATTTTTAATTTTATAATTCATATCTAACTAAACAGCCATTAGCCAGGGCTACAGCCTAACCATTTCTGGTTGTTTTGATTGGCTAGCCTTCCAAAGTTTTATAAATACATTTTTTTGAATTAACAAATAACTATAAAAACATTACACAAAGCACATAATAATTCATAAAAAAAAAGAAAGAAAGGATGGGTGAATAGCAGAAAGAAAAAGGGAAAGAAAGAAGTAGCACTAAAAAATCCAATTTTTGGCGATAATATGTTACAGAGTGGTTTCCAAGATTTTCAAATTACATGAGTAGCAGTTCCTGTCTTTACATTTAAATTCCTTATATCTTGAAGGCAGATTTAATTTCATATTCGTTTTGAAATTAAGTACTGAAAATGAACATTTAATATTCATTTAGAACACTATTCCAAATTCTCATAAGAAATATTTTTAGAAAAGGTTTAAGGTATTTGTTTCTTACTCAATCCAATTTAGAACTTTGTGTCCAATTAGGTTCTACAAATAGAGCAAACATTTCATTAAAAGACGAAGGAAGTTTTTTTATATATTTATACATAAAAGTAGAAGCATTATGTTTGTGGATATCAAATTGTATAAGCATTCCAATTTTGTAAACAATGGATCTGTATGTTGTGAATATCCTGTATCTGACAAAGCCCGTATTGCTTTCTTTTGAAGTTTAAATAATTTTCCTATTTTATTGTTTGTTGATGATACTCATGCTAAAATACCATGAATCTAATTGAGATTTTATTAAACTTTCATAATCCATCTGTTACGCGACGTTTTCTTAACCTTCTGTTTTCCCTCGCCCCTGAATACCCATGGAGTAAAGCTGTGAAGCCCCTACAACGAACGGAGAAGATTTGAGTTTGTTCCACAGCAACGAGCCCGGTTATAAAATGTAAACTTAGTCTTAGAAACCATACTGTCTGTACACTTTTCTAGTCAGTTAAACGTTGATATTTGATAAGATACTGTGTTCTGACTTTGCCCAAGACATATTAATGTATTTTTTTACGATTTTGTATGTTTTTATGGTTTAAACTGAAAATTAATCTTGTTTGTAAATGTCGAGAATCTTTTAGTCCAGTCAGTCCAGTAAATTAACGAAATTTGAAATTTCTTTTATTTTTTGATTAAATAAGTTTTATGTGCAAAATATTTGTTCGCTGTACTAATTTAAAAGTTAGCCTTGTATATACTTTCTTTGTATTGAATAAAATGATACGGTCAATCTTTTAGATTGAACCTTGTATCGTATATTCAGAGCGCTGGTTTACTTGAGATGAAGATCTGAGATGATAGATTAGATTAGAGAGTTTGTGAGGCTTATAGAGAGTTCCGATCAACTTAAAGGGAGTGTTCGCGAAAAATGAAAGGGGGTATAGGCTTAATGCGATAAAAAAGCGCTTTTGATCGCTACTAATCTTATTTCTATCTGTTGCGTCTATAAGGAGAAAATTGATAACGACGTCTCATACCGAATAACATGGCGTCCATACAAATTGAGAAAATTGCAACATACGACTTAGACCGTAAAAAAATCAATTTAATTTCAAACAAATCATTCAGATATTACAACCTATAGTCATCGATTATCTTTCGCCACATTTATATATAGTTGATTTTTCATAACATGTTTTAATTTTTATGATCTGGGAGTTACTTATAAAAACATTTATTCCTGTTTCGAGGATTTTTGGTAATAAAGACGACATTTTCATATTATCCAGGAATGTTCGAAAACAAGTTGAAAGCTAAATATTGTTTTAAAAAACAAAATCAAAACTAGTAGTATGAAATATCAAATATATACAAATTTGGCGAAAGATAATCGATGACTGTAGGTTGTAATATCTGAATGATTTGTTTGCTATTAATTTGATTTTTTTACGGTCTAAGTCGTATGTTCCAACTTCCTCAATTTGTATGGGCGCTACGCTCTTCGGTATGAGACGTCTTTATCAATTTTTTCCTTATAGACGCAACAGATAGAAGAAAGATTAGTAGCGATCAAAAGCACTTTTTTATCGCATTAAGCCTATACCCCCTTTCAAATTTCGCGAACACTCCCTTTAAGCAGAGCATAACAAGGGTGATACTACAAGGAGTATCTAGATATTTTGAGCCAGTAGTTTGGTCGCTTAATACTATCTTTCTTAAGTTTAAAAGGAGAAACTTTTTAATACTTTTCAGGGCAAAAATTCCACTTAATAGTTTAGCACAAATACCATCTATTTGATAATTCCAGATCAGAAATTCGTCAAATTGAACTTGAAATATTTATCTTTGCAAGTTGAACCTATTCTTTTAATAATTTCATTTCCTATTTTGAGATTATATAACTCTGATCAACAAATGCAAATATTTATTTCTAAATACAATAAATTTTGTTTTTGAAACATTGAGTGTTAACTTATTAGTCGAAACCAACAAGATCTTCAGAAAGTTCATGATTTTACTGTTTGAAACAGAGTTTCTGGAACATTGGATGATTTTAAGAATCCAGTATCATTGGCAGATAAAGAAGTGCAAAATAATGTACAATCTGGAAGGAATAGTCCTGAAGAGCCCCATTGGTTTCTAAAGACCAACTTTTGGCCCTCGAAACAGTCAGGGGTGTTAATTGTAATATTTTACGGACATTTTTCTTGCGTTTTTAAAATAAAATCCGCTTATTTTTAACAAAAATGTGTAAAAGAATATTCGTTACATTTAGAAATTCAGAGGAAAACCCATAATATATATTTATACCATACCACACCGGACTAACCAGAGTGAGCAGCATTCGGTTTCTTTTATTTTAAATCAAACGTTTTTGGTCTTTAATTCAATAATCATTTACTTTACGGATTTGCTTATTTCATACATTTGCATTTAAAATGCATTTGCCAACAAAAAAGTATATAAGAAAAAAGGCTAACAAACTATGTTTAATGGGTCAAATTGTGATCGAAAGTCACAGCTTTCGGGAGTATCGACAGAACCGTTAAATCCACGTAATACAGGATTACACACAAAGAATGAGACTTTAATGATGACCTAAAACTCTAAATGTAAGACAAGTGAAAGGATGTAAAAAATAATATATTCATTTGGTTGACTATCTACCGTTTTGTCTAATATAGTCTGCAGTATGTGTATTGTACAATGAACAGTTTGCTCTAGCTTCATGAAAGTCCGTACAATGTCCTTAGTAACTGCATGTCCTATCGGTATGCATTATCTCAACAAAATTGGGACACAGTATTATCTAAAATTATTTATCTGAACGATGTCCTTGAAATTCCAAATGAGTGGAGGGGGAACAAAATTTAACACAATTCTGA